ATACTAAGCAGTATTGTTGGTACCTGTTTAAACCTGTTAGCTGTATAAAAGACACCTGTCCACAGGCTAAAACAGTCACACTCCAATCTAATTATTTCTCCTTTCATCTCTCATAGATGAAGTGTACCTATGATGAAAATTACCGACCTCTCTCATTATTCTAAGTAGTAGAAATTGCACAGTCAGTGGCTGGCTAAAAACGTCTTGGCCCCACTGTAGGTGAATATCTGGGTAGGCTTGCCTGGCTCTAAGGTTTGTCCAGCCACTTCCAAACACCTGTCAGTGGCTGCTGCTGTGCAGAGTGGAATACAGCTGCCAACCACCAGGAGCATGAACAAATAAAAGCACATTTAATTATATAAACTGGGTAGAAAGATAGACGTAAATCTAAACAATGTATGTATAGAAAATATGTCTGCAAAATCTTATAATCAACAAAAAATGCTTAATTAAGCAAATTAGGCAAAATAGCAATTAGAAAATAAAAATCCTTTCAGATTTATAGTCCCACACTGCAGATATATTAGAATCAAACCCATTTAATCAGTAACAGATAAAAACCTTTACATAAATCAAACATTACCACCACATATCTGACTCTATAACCATTAAAACAGCTATTTTCATTCATTTCAGACGGAACTATTCACTGACTGGATTATATTAAACTGAACTTCCAATATTCACCACTGTTCTGAACTATTTCCCTTTTTTCTCTGATCACGGAGCAGCCGGCTTGCTTGGACTAATGAATCATGGGATACCTGAGGCTACGGAGGATACAGCGAACCCGTCCTTCAAATCAGGCAAAAAAAAGGACGCATTTAACGGCTGCATAACGAGGAGTCTTAGAATCTGACCAGACCTGGACGCCACGCTATGACGTCCTCAGCTGATGAATCTGGCCTTCTGAGGACGCAGCCGCTGAATTTGAATTCAGCCTGTATGTCGTAACTCCTTGTCACCTGCGATAATATCATCCCCCTGCTTCCGCTCCTGGCTTCAGGCCTCCAGCAGAGTCCCTGGAAGGTCAGCAGCTCTTTTTCATCCCAGTCACTGACCTCTCTCTCCAGTGCTTCCACTTCCTGTGCTGCTGAACTCTCAGGTCGTCAGTCCATCTGTTCCTCACAGAAACCTCTGGTCATACATTGACCAACCACCAGCTGTTCAAATGTCAATAACTCCACAGGCATGACAGAAATCATTTCCATGTTGCATGTCATGTCTGCTCCTAGCTCTGCTCCTGCCCGGCCTCAGCCTGCTCTTGTGGCCAAGCCCACCATGCCTGTTGCTAACTTCTGTGAACCATGTCCGAAACCCAAAGCTGCCTGAAAGATGTAAGGAAGCTTTAATGATGTCTCTGGTAAAGTGAGGCAGTGGGCACAGATGGGTGGAATAACAGCTCAGCCTCATGTCTATCTTACTCAGCCTTCTCCAGGAACTGTAACATTGGTTTCTGTTCTGTTTTAGCCAACAGAGAAGCTGCCAGCAAGGCCACATATCTGAGACAGCAGATGGCAGCTGGAACATCGGTTTTTAAAGTAAAATCCTGTTTAATGATCATGTTTTTGTTCCCCTGTGATACAGAAAGGCTTTTCTCACCACTTTCTGCTCCATGTCTCCTTCTATCCCTCTGACCACAAAAGATAAAAAAAAGAACATAAAAAGAAAAACAAAATAAACGACAAACCATCCCAGACCCCTCTGACCTTTGACCTTGGATCCACTGGCCAAGCATAAATAGTATCCGGAGAACAGAAGTGCATCAATTTTATCTCCACCATCATAACCAGCTTTTTTTCCAGCATTTTATTGTCATTCCACTGTCACCAGTTCAGAGCAACGAAATTCCCTCTCTGCATTTAACCCCTCCCCATGGGGAGCAGTGCTGCCATTGTGCGGCGCCCAGGGAGCAGGGTGGGGTTAAGTGTCCTGAACCCAGAGTGGCAGACTGTGGGAGTGGGACTCAAACTCAGAACCTCAGGATTCCAAGCTCTATGCCCTGACCACTAGGCCCCCCCTCCCCATCAGCATCCACAGAGAAAGCAGCATTTACATTTATATGCATACAGATAAAATAACTATATGGTACCATTTACCTAATTTAATGGTAGCTGACAGAGGGTCCGCGACCCTTATGGGTTCCCCCCTCCAATTTTTCCCTCTAATTGAAAAGTCTTTAAATCCACGTTTACATGAATCCAACAGACTGTAGTAAACAGATCAATGGAGGCAGAAGATGTCTTTCAGTCATCAATGCTCACATTCAGAGACACACAGGAACTCTTTCAAGCTGGGCACCGTTTCATTCACAACACCTGTCCCTAGGGTTGTCAAAAGTATCGATATCCAAAAATGTATTGATACTGAAACGTATCCGGATATAATACTCATTTTCAAAAGTATCGATACAGCCATCTAAAGTGCAGAATAGTGGAAAATGCACTTTCTGAACTCTGTGTGATTGAATAATTCTACGCACTTTTCAGTTTCAGACTGAAAAACATCTGCAAACACAGCCAAGGAAGGAAAATTTCATTTTAATTTTGTAAGTTTTTTATCAAGCTTGCTTAATATTGTGCACAGCATACAACCTCATAATATTATTCTTATTGTTTTTTTATTTATTTATTTTTTAGTAATGAAAATATTTCTGTTGAATTTTAGAGTCTTTGTTTTTATTCTTGTGGTATCGAAAAGGGTATCGAGGATCGAATATTTTACTTAGTATCGGTATCGAGTTGAAAAGTTTAGTATGGTGACAACACTAACTGTCCCATCAACCAGGAATCAGAAATACTTTAATAATCCCAGGGAGAAATTACTTTAGTTACATTACTCCATCTGTAATAGAGTGACTATAGAACCAGTTTGATAGAACACTATTTCAGACCATATATATAATCAGTTTGGGGTCCTTAGCCTGGAAGGCCTTACAGGGATATGTACCTAAAGCTTTTAAGGTTGCTGGAATTAAACCTCTGCTTAAGAAACCGTCTCTTGACCCAGATGACTTGGTCAATTATAGACCTATATCCAATCTTCCTTTCTGATCTAAAATTCTTGAGAAAGTAGTTGCCAAACAAGTTTGCGATCACTTACACCATAATGAACTTTTTGAAGAGTTTCAGTCTGGCTTTAGAGCTCATCATAGCACTGAAACAGCTCTGGTGAAAGTCACTAATGATATTCTCATGGCCTCAGATAATGGACTTGTATCTGTTTGAAAAAGAAGCTGATTAGCCAGTCACTTCATCTGGATGGGATTAAACTGATTTCAGATAATAAAGTAAAAAATCTTGGTGTTATTTTTGATCAGGACCTGTCATTTAAATCCCAGATCAAAGAAGTTTCTAGAATTTCCTTCTTTCATCTGAGGAATATTGCAAAAATGAGCAATCTCCTGTCCAGGGGTGATGCTGAGAAACTAGTCCATGCATTTGTTACTTCAAGGCTGGACTATTGTAATTCTTTACTATCAGGAAGTCCACAAACTGTAGTTAAAAGCCTTCAGCTGATCCAAAATGCTGCAGCCAGAGTTGGGTTAAATTACGCCTCTGGCTGTAATATTATAAAATAAAAAGCATTAAAAATAAGCAATAAAAGCCTATCGACTCCTTTGCCAGGTTTCTGTCAGGCCTTACAGACGCTGTTTAGAGGTTATAGGAGGATGAAGCAAATATACTGAATAATAAAACAATATTAGTTGGAATATGTGATTAAAAACAAGCTATTTTCTTACAGTTTAAATAATGATTGAGTTTTTTATAACATTTTTCCTGAATATTCTGAGGTGTGGAGTTGATTAGCGTCTAACCCAAACATGACCTATAGATGAGAAGTTAAATATCGGCCGCTTGCAGCGCTCAGTTTACATGTGACCAGTCAGATTATACAGTCGATGCAGAATGTAAAGCTGAAGAGGGGTTTCCATGGCTTCCCCAGTTTATTCTAGCCTCAGCCTGAAACAGTTTGCTGGTTTGCTCTTCTCATTTGGTTATCAGCAGCAGTTTCCGCTGTAATAAACCCTGCTGCTCTGCCAATATTGACACGCTGCAAATCCCAGAGCAGATAGAAGCTGCACTTGCCAAAGCAGTGAGACGCTTATCTAAACTGTCTGCTCATATCCGCTGCAGCCCACGGTGGCAATAAGCCCGATGAGCGGAGAGGAGGAACACCGTGGCTTCCATTTTATGGCTGCTCCCCAGCAGAACGGGGGGGGGGGGGACTTAACATGCAGCAGCTCCAAAAATAAATAAATCAACCATGAAAGCATTCAGCATTAATCTAAACATGGTTCAATATTAGATCTACTGTAAAACTATAAATAAATTACACAGTTAAATAATTAAATGATTTAAAATGAATTTAGGTTTATTTAATTATTGGTTATTTTAACCGTTTTTATTTGCCTAAAACATGACTAAATATTACAAATATCTTAAATAGATGAAATAATAATATGATCCGTTAAAATAATTAAAGACAATTTTACAAATTATAAAAGAAACATCAAATATTTGTTTGTTTTCATTTTTTTTTTTTATATTTAAATACAGATTCCATAATATTATCAAAATTCGAAATGAAAAATTAAATAAGAACATGTCCTAGTAAATTATTCTAAATGAAAATTTGATAAATATAGCGCCGCAACAGACTGGCGGCCTGTCCAGGATGGACCCCGCCTCTCGCCCATAGACTGCTGGAGATAAGCCCCACCCCCAACGCCACCCTGACTGAGCAGGAGAAAATGGATGATGATAAATTCAATAATTTCCTGTATTTAATTTGTGTTTTTAGTCTTTTTGTCACAGGTTTACAAAATTCTTTTTATAGGACAGGATAGGAGCAATAAGCCAAAGGCCCGACTTTTAAATTAACATTTTAAATTAATTAAAATTTTAAATTAACATCTAATCAGCGAAGCAAAGATGGCTTTTAGCTGACAGTTGTTTTTATCTTAATAGTGATTTTTAACTAACTTTGTTTTACATCAATAATTGATTTTTTGTTTGAATTGTTTAAATGAAGCGTTTTTAAAATCCAAAAATCCATGAATTTCCTGTGATTTGAAAAATAAATTTCTTTCATTTCTTAAAAGGAATGAAGAGTGAAAGACTTGTTTGTATATTTAAGGTCATTTTTCTCCAGTGTTATTTCTGGTGACATCATGTGACGATCGTCCTACCTGCTCCCAGCCTGTGACTGCCGTGCTGCTGCTGCTGCTGCTGCTGCTGCTGTCTGCGCGCTAACTTCTTCATCTGTCCGGGAACAAACACAGAGACACAAACGGTTCCAGCCTGGTTTAGCAAAGCCAGGCATCAAACACGGGTCCAGGCTCTGATTCGTTACCAGCCGTCTGCATCTCCACTTCATCCATGGCGAAGTAGAGATGCAGACATTTAAAATTTGGAGAGTGAAACTAAGGAGCAACTGAACACCCCTGCTGACAGACTGCTTGCTGACTGGAGTAAAACACCTTTTGGCTGGCCAGACTTTGGCAGGCCTCTCCTCCTAAATACCAGCAAACAGAGCAAATGGCAGATTAGAAATGTTTAATCTACTGGGCTCAACTGATACTGATCGGATTCAGACATTTAAGTATTTTTTGGCAAAATGCAGGAGAAAACTTTCAGAAGGAGACGGAAAAAGTTGGAGTCATCAAATATGTAACTAAGCCTCTGATGACTGATATCCAGAAACAAAAAGTTCACCAGGCTGGTTTTTCAGAGCCGACGTCATTAATAGTGAACTTTACTGACCTTTGCCCTTTGGTTCTGGAACCAGACCTGGACGACACGAACGCTGAGGCCAGTCTCTGCAGCCAGAGTCTCTCTCACCTGGAAATCCAATTTAACAGCTTTAGTTTCACACTTTTCATTTCTAGGAATCATTCTTATAGAGGAGAAATGAAATCTTTCAGTTTTTCCTAAGTTACCAACAAATAAACAACCTAGAGGAAAACTGCTTCGCTTTAAAAAGACCTAAATAAAAAATAAAGAGAGAATTAAATTGTTTCTGAAAGCATAGAACACAGAAACTGTAGAACTTGAAATCAGCAAATGAATGAAAGCAGGAGAATGAAGGAGGCAAAGGAGAACAACATGGAGGCATCGATGGACGACGCCGGAAGCGTGCGCCGGCGTCATGTTCTCTGGGACTGTTGGAAAGAAATAAACAATCCTCCTCAGAATGTAGAGACACGCCGCCGGTCTGAAGAAAGAGCGCTAAGAGCCTCAGACACACCGACCGCCGTTACCATGGAGACGATTACAGCATCCTGTAAGACTTCACGCCCCACAGACCTGCATCTATTTTCACACTGTTTTAATATAAAATACAACTTTTATCCTCTATTGAGGATTCTTTGTTTTATCTGCTAACTTCATTTTTTCTTCATTAGCGGTTAAACTAAGGAGCTGTAAGTTTCCCAGCATTGAAACCTGATTTCTTTCACCAGAACATTCGAATAATCAAGACAAGTTTGTTTAAATCTGCTTTGCAGGTTTGTGAGTGAAGCTCTATAGCATGAACTTCGTCTTCTGGCCTTTACTGGAGATGTGATTAGAGAGGGGGACGTCCTGCAGCAAAGGTCCAACCTGTGACGGCCACTTGGAGGACCACAGTCTGGGTCGCCCCCGCCGTGCCCTAGTTTGTTTGCTGATGTAGATTTCATATGTTGAGTAAACAGTGGAGATGAGTGCGTTAGTCTCCATGCTGCTCAGAGCTTACATCACCTCTTCAACTGATCTACTAAGATCCCAGATAAGGAGTTCCCAGTTGCTGCTCGAAAACATAAATCAGTTAGTGGGAATGCTGGGAAGGATTTACTGAGAATCTCAGTCATGGATCAGCAGCAGTAGAACTGAACTTTAAAAGTTCAATTAAAGAAACTGTTTTCTAAAAGACGTTTCTCCTCTCATCAAGAGGCTTCAAAAGTTCTAACTAGTGGTGGGGAGAACTGAGATTAACAGACTATAGATTACCGTGATTAATTCACTAAGATTAATATACTGAGATTAATTCACTGAGATTAATTCACTAAGATTAATATACTGA